TAACGATTTCCAATTATTCCCAATCATCTCAGTGTTCCTCTTTAGGTAACGATTTCCTATAATTCCCCATAATATCAGTGTTCCGGTTTAGGTAAGGATTTCCCATAATTCCCGACCATCTCAGTGTTCCTGTTTAGGTAACGATTTCCCATACTTCCCGACCATCTCAGTGTTCCTGTTTAGGTAACGATTTCCCATACTTTCCGACCATCTCAGTGTTCCTGTTTAGTTAACGATTTCCCATAATTCCCCATAATCTCAGTGTTCCTGTTTAGGTAAGGATTTCCCATAATTCCCCATAATCTCAGTGTTCCTGTTTAGGTAAACGATTTCCCATAATTCCCGACCATCTCAGTGTTCCTGTTTAGGTAACGATTTCCCATAATTCCCCATAATCTCAGTGTTCCTGCTTAGGTAAACGATTTCCCATAATTCCCGACCATCTATTCCCCATAATCTCAGTGTTCCTGTTTAGGTAATTCCCGACCATCTCAGTGTTCCTGTTTAGGTAACGATTTCCCATAGTTCCCGACCATCTCAGTGTTCCTGTTTAGGTAACGATTTCGCAGGTGATTTCAAGTTACAATCTATTGAGAAACTTTCATTTTTCATGAATCAACCAATATTTACTACGTTACTGTATCGACATAACGAATTGGAGTTTAATATTAACTACGCACTGTGCTTAGTCTTATAGTCCATGTTTGAAAATTGAGCATCAGTTTTGCTGTGACAGTTTGACCCAGGAAACGTGCATCGCCTATGATAACCGACGTTCCGTTGATACAACCTTATCAAATATGCAAAGTTATTCTGAAGCGCGTTACATCACAGCAATAATGATAGTTCTAGACTTAAAATATGCACAAGACACGGAAATTGACACTTCAAAACCACAAGGCGTACGCAAAATGAGTATCATCATTTGTGTATCAGATGACATTGTATTTATGTTTTCTTGTACATTTTCCGTGGTCTCCATATCAATATTTGTTTGTTCATACATTGCCCTTTCCTCATAAGCATAGTCTGAAGGTTGAATTGTTCAATAATCTTTTAGTTTTTCATCAGGACGATTTGTCGGACTTTTAGTACAATACTAAAAGCTATAACACGAAAAAAGGTCAAAATCTAAATACGTGATCAAATATATCAATTACAATACATATCGGTATGTAAACACCAACCGTTTATTTAGTTTCATGCTTTAATTCACCTGTACTACAATGTTGCACCTTAAACCTGGCTTGTCTCAAAGTTGTTTGCGTACCTTGATCGTTCTGTGCAATTATCTATGTGTTCATTATTTTGTGTTCGGTGTTCTCAAGTTCAATTCAATCTTTTGAATACTATTCTATAAATAAATCTTCTACACGTTTCAAATACTCTAAGAAATCTTGCTTGGCATCTTTTAATTCCTTCGTTGCTTTTAAAACATCTAATGTGCGTGTATGTATTTCCCCTGACGATGTCAACGGGTCGACTGTTTTCTAAAACTACGTTGTGTATGTACCGTTGGCCACAAAGTACATGTAATTTATTCATTACTTATCTTTTAAATCATACAACCATAACGATACAGAACTCAAGTTTATCGTTTACTGGATCATATTCCGGGATTTTATGTACATATATTTAATGTGTGATATAGGTTTTAATGTGTACGCCCAAACTAAAAGACAGGTTTATTGCAGGTAATAAATTACAAAAACGTGCAGCACGTCTCATTTTAGATATTCAATTTGAAACTCCTTCAAAAGAAATGTTTTCTGTGTTGAAATGGATGCCTTTTAAATTGTATATAAATTATAGAAAGTCTGTTATGATCCTAACATGTGTACACGGACTTGCTCCTTAATATTTATGTTCTTGTTTTAAACATGTGAACAGTGTCCCCTCCAGAGCTACACGGCGGGCTGAACAGATTATGTTGTACATTCCTAAGCCCAGGACAACCTTTTATACTGGTCACTTTGTTTTATCAAGTTGTGAGTTGTAATGCACTTCCAAATGATGTAAGGTCATCACCATATTAGCGTGTATCCTCGCAATTTTTATACTTTGCTATATTAGCATGCTTGTATGTAAGGCTCCGGCCATTCAACTATTATCAGACCTTCAAAGCATGAGATGTATGCTTTCTGTGATATTTGATGTATTGTACTATATAATTGCATGTAATATTTTCAGCAATCTCATAATTTATATTTTAGATGTCATTTATGTTTAATTCATATTACTATGTTTTAAGAAATACTATGCAAAACTAACATATTTTATTCATATAGATCCTGAGGGAGATTAGCCTTTGGCTAAATCAGGTTTTTATCCTCAATGAATACATTTTATTGTTATTATTTGTATTATTATATTAATAAGTGGTAGAGTTGAACATTTTTTACTTGTTAATTAAGGTGGGTCCATCCTTTTGGTAAAACCCATGTCATTCTTTTCTAATTAGGCTTATTTTCTTGAATTGTTTACGTAGATTCCATATATGAAAAGAAAAAAGGGGGTTCTCGTTTTACTTTTTGAGATATTTGAGCTGAAAGGTAGCCACTTGACTGAAATTTTCCACCAAATAATGAAATTAAGTAAAAATATGTTTTGTACAATATTTACAAAACAAAAGTTACCACCAAGTTGAATATTTTCAAAAGATTATGTAATGTACTATCAAAAGCAAAAATAAAACAAACACAATTATATTTGCTAAATTTATGCATTTTTAGTGGCCATCCATTCTCTTCAAAATGCCGTTTTTAAATTTTACATCGAACAAATGCATTAAATTACAAGCAAAAATACTGTCTAACCCATGTCAATTTTATAAAACTTTTACAGAAGACAGCCAAGTATATATGCGTTTTGGTAAGCATACAAAAGTGTGGGGTTCCCGGTAACAATTTTGCAATTTTGCTCACTTGAAGTTAGAACTCCGTTCCCCCACCCCATTTTGCCTATTCCTATGTTAACGGGTAAAAGGCAAAATTATGCATATTATTATCCATATAAAATATGGATTCTTTATCGTGTCCCGTCACCTATATTTGACATATGTTAAAATCAAGTAGCATTAATGCTCGGAAAATAAATAAAAATAAATATTTCGTTATATAATTATATACACATATATAAGTTCCTATTCGTATTCTTGATCTTTGGACCGACTCCGGGTACGGTATTATAAACGAAATTATATTTTTCCGTATTCAATGCTAGCGCACTATTTCAAACGTAATGTGCTTGATTTCACTGTTAGTTGTGTAGTTTCTGTATATGTAGGTCGGTATATAAAATTCATATTGAACACATATTTGCTACTATTAACGAGTCAACGTCTACTTATTGTTGTAGATGTATCGTCAGGGGCGTAACAACCTATGTAGCAAAAAAGCCCGGGCTTACACATCATTTTTGACAAAATAAAAATAATATAAACGCAACATAGAATATATGATGTAAAATATTAAAAAGCAATGACAGATGTTTTGTATCTGCTATAAAGACCGCCAACTAAAATGCTTCGTTGCAATCAAAGTCTCTAACAAATGTAGAACTGAGGGTAGCATATTCATTCGGCATGGTAATCGCGCCAGTGAAACTCTAGTCTTGCTAATTATCGGTGTACCCAAACACTAACTCTAGTTTTCCCCGTGAAATAAACTGTTCCTATGATTTTTATCCCCTTTATTAATACAAAATACATATGGAATGGTCATAAACCATGGCTTTATATTTTACCCATTGACCAGTATATCGGTTCTTATGTACATAATGTTAAACTATTCCTAGTGCTAGCTTGTGATACTATAGTCTCATATCCCTGCGCAACCGGAGTCACAGTCGCGAGGAGCAACGTCACACTCTTACAACAACTATCCCAAAATCCACATGATTTTAGATTTTTCTTTTCCGTGGAATAATGTTACCGAACTCCATAATAGAATTGGCGTAGATAAGTACCAATTCCTACGTACCCAAAAAGAAGCAAAATATTTGTAAAATAATAGGGGAAAACGATATTTTCTTGCTTTAAAATGGCCATTAAAACTGACGCCAGAACAAGGGAGAACGCGTCTCATGTAATCTAGAAAACACTATTCTCCTGGGGGAGACCCCCCAGACACCCATGAATGGGAGGGTGAAACCCCCCTCCCACACCCTCCCCCTCATCGCGCTACGCGCGTCGTGGTGCTGCCGAAGGCAGCACACTTCATCATTGGGCTTACACATTGAAAACCCGTTTGTTACGCCCCTGTTGACCTGCACATACCACAACAATCTTCCTGGTCCCTGCTGTCGTGTACAGACGACAATATAGAAATGCTTTCTCATCCCTGTTGTATACACGACAAGATATTTTGGTGTTACCTGTCTTATGTTTAGCTGGTTATTACGGTGGCTGATTTGTGCCATTTCTTTGTAGCGAGAAGACAGCAATTAACTGATTTGTAATCAACCACCCTACTGCACACCGCCTTATCAGTGTGACAACCAACTGTAAGAACAACATTGCTTATTTTATGTCTGTACAGAAGGAAACCTGGTGAGGCAGGTGTGCGTGTGTGACAACAGATACCGTCTACATCACTCCAGCTACCCTACACATATCTTATCCTGATCGACAAACCCAATCCTTGATACGTTTTTTGTACTCTCGAATTGAAAAATATACTATATAAATCATCCCGTTACTGTTCAGTATACATTAGTGTGTTCGACAATGTACTCACCTCATGTCAGTATAATGTAGTGTTATGTTTACGTGATGCCGTCTACATCACTCCAGCTACCCCACACATATCTTATCATGATCGACATCCTGTTAACAAATCCTTGATAAGTTTTGTGTCATCTCGAATTGTTAATAGTGTAATGACTTTACCAATTGATTATATAGGAGTAGGTTTATAACAGAGTTAAATAGAAACAGTATTGATAAAACATGAACCAAACTCTATAATCATCTGGTCACTGTTCAGTATACATTAGTGTATTTATTAGACAATGTACTCACCTCATGTCGGTATAATGTAGTGTTATGTTTACGTTATGCAGGAGGTCCTAGTCCATATCAGATTGAATACTAAAACATTAGTAAAACTGCCAGGTATATTAATAACCCACTGAATCTGATCTAACGCATATGTTCACACTATGGGACTGTATACTTAATTCTCAATTTACGATATTTTCTACACGTTGAGTTAGCCGCTTCTATACTTTTTTGCAAGTTCTGTATGGTACTATGAGCTATGTCAAGTTTGTTCAGTTGTCGTTCTCAATTGTTATTACGCCTCTCGAATATTGTAATTACACCTCTCGAGTATTGTAATCACACCTCTCGAATATTGTAATTACACTTCTCGAATATTGTAATAACACCTTTCGAATATTGTGATTACACCTCTCGAATATTGTAATTACACCTGTCGAGTATTGTAAGTACACCTCTCGAATACTGTAATTACACCTATCGAATATTGTAATTACACCTCCCGAATAATGTGATTACCCCTCTCGAATATTGAAATTACACCTCTCTAACATTGAAATTACGCCTCTAGAATATTGTAATTACCCCTCTCGAATATTGTAATTACACATCTCGAATATTGTAATTACACCTCTCGAATATTGTAATTGCATCCCTCGAATATTGTTATTACACCTTTCAAATATTACTCTTAATTCATTTGCTTTGCGATCTTATTTACACCAGTACATTATTTCGTTTCCTACACTAGTTTCTCTAGCGCCCTGTTTGTGCTGTGTCTATATGCCAGCTGCGTCATTATCTCGGCTTACTGCGTTCTATTCAGTGTCGGTATCGTCACGGAAATATGGTGACTGATATATGACATGACTGAATGTTAACAAGAAATTCCTTCATGTAGTTTTCCGCGAATATCTGAAATAAAGGATTTCAAATTAGGGATGTAGACCTATCGAATTCAAAGCCGTAGGATTTAACTGGGCAAGTATTTCGCAATCTGCCATATTTTTTCTTTTCTTTTTGAGTATTGGGAATTCACGGGTACGTATTTTTCTCATGAGTGTCTCATCATATTCGAGAAAATACCGGTTCTAAATATTGGCATGGTTGTATAAGTTAAAAGTCATAGCAGTTTCAAGTCGACAATTTAGCTCGATCTAGTATTCTCCATTAACCAATCTTTTAAAATAAATGTGTTATGACCCAAAAACGTTTGGTATATATTTTAAAAAATGTTGGGGAATTAGCAATCTGATTAAAATCATATCCTACGTTCTCTACGTATCACGTTAGGATCTGAACAACCCCGGTTAGAGGTCATGACCCGGTGACCTTTCTAACCTCCAATCAAATTATCGCTGGCAAAATTGTGCCAGCGCTTCGATTGCCTCGCGATGGTTCGCATCAATATGATAAAATCCGAGAACAACCGAACGCAGTTTTCAGAAACAAAACAAGATGCCGGCGCCCGTGGTTGGTGTTATTGATACACCGAAAAAATCCTATTTATTAGACAATATATGTATTTTATGTGGTTTTGCGTTTATGCAAAGAGAGACTGGTGAAGATGGAAGTATTGTTCAAAAGACATACTTAGATCGTAAGTTGAAACTGTCCACGGAGCGGAGAAATGTCATTGAACAATTTCTTGACGTTCACGTTGAAGTTAAAGACACAAATAACGGTGTATGTCAAAAGTGCTTCAGACAATGTGATTGTCATCTAAAGTTGGAACAAAATATTAAAGACACACAATAGAAGATGAAAGAGACATTCAACAATGTCAATACAATAGCGGTATTGAACATGCCTTCACCCCGACGACAGTTTGTCACCAAACGCATGATAAGAAGCCCAGTTGAAACACAACAAACAAAGAAATGCATAAGTACATCATCACACCCTCCACTGAAAATAAAGGTTGTGACACAAGTAAAACTGACTGCTTTTGCTGATATCACAAATGTCACTAGGATCCCTGAGTCGACAAAACCAAAGAGAACTGCCACGAGGTCATTAGGAACAGCATTTGAAACAGTTCCAACCCAAGAGTTACATGGAGAAGTTGAGGTATATTATAAAACATTGAACCAATAATTAAACATGTTTAGGCCAAGTAAAACAAGTATCTCATTCTCGGATACAGCTGCCCTATAGACAAAATATCTGTCGATGAAACCTTTTTATTGACACGTGCAAAAAATTCATCCAATATTTTTCAACCCATATAGACAAATCTTGAAATGTGACTTCTAGGGGCAAAATTTTATGACAGACAAAAATTAACAAGTGTCCTCACTCATGCTATTGTTTTATAGTAGTGATTCAGGCATTAGAAGTACATGGAACACTGTATACATGTTTTATTACTGGGACAGTGGTTTTATTCTGAATAAATCGTTTTGAATACACTGATGACTCAGAAACTGTCTTTTTAAACTCTAAAAATAAAATGATAAAACATAACCCAAATCTACCGTGCCACTTTTAGAATTATTTATTTGAGAACCTGAGATTTTCTTTTACATGGCCTAAATAAGCATGTCATTTATTTTATTTTATTTTGTTTTGTTTAATGAAAAAAAAAAGAATTTTAATCAACTCAATACTTGGACAGTGTATATGTATGTATCAAACAGGAAGCATTTCATGCAAATAATCAATGAATGTCTCTCTATGAGTATGTGATATATGGTAAATTTTAATTGAGAACTTTTGCTTAGATCATAACTAGTATACACTGTCAATCAATCAAACCAGTTAATTGCTTTACATTTGGAATTATTCTATTTCTGTAATTGATAATATTTTCAAATGTTGTTCTTTTTAATTTGCATGATTGCATTTAGATATAGTTTAGATGTTGTTAGGAATTGTTATGCTAGTTAAAGTTGAAAAGTTGATTTGTCTATTTTTGGAAATGGAATTTCCTATTGATTGTTCAGTAGTTTAGTTTTGTTTTTGATCTTTGTTGCAGTTCAATTATTTTGTTTGCATTCTTCTTAATCAGTTTGAAAGGTACATCACCTATAGTCTGAGTCATTGGTGAGATGGAGAATCAAAGGTACAAAGATTATAAGTTAGTTCTGAATCTTATCAATAATTTTAAATTATTACAATTTGAACATGTGTAAGCCAATAATCCTAATAATTGTCCTGCTAATATTTCACAGGATATATATTAATATTATTTACAATTGATGATGATAATAAAACAAATATAATGTCAATAAGGTACATGTATCATTGTGATTATAGCACATGTAAGAAATGTGGCAAGTTAAAGTCATATTGAATGACCTACATTTAACATATTGTAGTAATAATTTGTCTGTGCCTGTACAATTCATATTTGTAAAGAGTTATTGTTTTATAAATTGTTTAATGCAGATTTGATTTTTTGTCCAGGGAAAATACATGTATTGATCACAGTTTATATTTTTACAATTTAGATTTCCATCTCCTATCCTAGTGGACAGAGATCCGAGCTGTTAACTGACGACACCCAAAAAAAACTATGCAAAGCAATTTTTAGAAAAAAGGACGTTGCAAAATCTGTTATTCAAATCTTGGTGGCTTCAAATCCTGGTGAAGTAGTGGATGGAGCAAGATCAGTAGTATCTGAGGAGAGTAAAGCACTCTACAAACGTAACTCTGGTGCAAAACAAGACATATGGAAATATGATGGAGTTTACATGGGACAAATTTTATGAAGAACTTCAGATCAGAGCACCAAATATATTGAAAGTGGTTTCTGCCATTGAAAGTGATATACCAATGCAAGTGTCTGGCAAGAAATTCCTACATATCTTGCACACAGTTGCCTCAGGATTGCACGGGCGTAGTCAAGAGATGTCAGCTTTGCATTATCAAGTTGGATTTATACTTGTGCATGGAGGATGCACAGCACACGTATGTTTACACCTACAGTAATAACTTTGATTGTATTTTTGTTTTTTATGCTCCCCGAAGACTTTCATTTCAATTTCGGGGAGCATATATTTACCGCTTTGTCCGTCCGTCCATCACATTTTCTTGTCTTAAGCATAACTCTTAAAAGTAATTGAGATAACTTCATGACACGTGGTACACATGACCAGCACATCAAGGCTGATAGCAGTGTACAAGAATCGTAACTCTTGCTGGACTGTTGACGGAGTTATCCCCCTTTTTCTTATAGAATAAGTAATCAAAATCATTTCAAGAAACTTGATGTATACAATTATATCTTCAATGTTTAGAAAAGACTGATAAACTGTAGATTTGCTTTGGTGATCCTGTATTTATCATGTTTATAGTGAACGACAGAATGTTCAATATAAAACCAGAAGTAAAATCATGTGTGTATTAGATGGCTAAGCATTTTCTGTTCCACTTAAGATTATATTACCTCTTGTTAATATTAAAATCAGAAGTAACTATGTATACCATCAAGCTTTTGTTCAGACACTGGAATAAACTGTACAGTACATATCAACATAGCATGTGAAACAATTAATTTATTGCTACTGTCTATTCTGCTAAAATGAAATAAAATGTTTATTTTATTTATTTTGGTAATACAGGATATAACAAGACTGGCTAAACTTGGAATAAGTATGACTCCTCAATCAGTGCATGGATTATTGGCAAAATGGAAAGAAAACTTGGATGCTGAGATTATCAAGTTAAAAGAAGACTGGGAAATTGGTGAAAATGTCAAGTACCAGCTAGTTGGAGACAACTGGGATAAGAATATTCTTCCATCTTTCAGGTAAAGTTTTTTTGTATATGCATTTTGTATATGTTTTTATGATCTCCTGGTTAGCTCAGTTGGCAAAGAGTTTACATTCATTGCATATGGTCACTGGTTCGATCCCTGGTCGAGTCATAGCTAAGACATAAAAAATAGTAAACTTCTGGCTTCCGGCCAAGTGCTTGTCACAAATTAAAGGAAGGGAAAGGATGGGAACGTAGGATATGATTTTAATCAGATTGAGGATTGGTGTTCTCAGTGTAAGGATAATGTGACAGATTTTTAATTGATCGTGTTTATTAGACTAATTCAAACATGGTAAACTTAAGTACTTTATCTTGTTTGTATTTTTTTGTATTCTAGGACATCACAGCAGCAAACAATTTCCCTACACCTTTTCAACCTCATAGCAGTCGTTGACAGAGTGAAAGTTTTGCCAGTGCCAAGTAATCCATTGCCTTTTCACGACATAAAACTGGATCAGTTCTTACCTTCGCCTAAGGAGCAAGAATTACTGAAAGCCGAGCTGGTGTTTATAGTAGCAACATCTGTTATAGCTAACATTCCCCAGCTGACATGTTTGCTGCAAAATATATATCCAAAGCATCTCAACCACAAATACAGTACACAAGCAGGACTGAAAACTACTCAGGTAAGTGTACATGTACTTATAGTTCTACTTTACTAGTTTTTACTGCCAATCTATGCTTGCTGATATAATAAAAATTCAAACGGATTGACCTGTGTTTTACTGCATGATGTACATGTTACTCTTCTGAAACTTAAAGACAAAAATAATATCCAACTTCTCATTGAATTTACTATTTTTTGTCTACAAGACATGGCCTGTCCATGTTGGTTTCAAGTTCAGTCATTCAAAAGTATGTTGCTTTTTAACATGGTGACAATAATGTATTACTTGTAATAACTACTTCTTAATATGATTGTCTGCATGCATATGTCACCACATGCAAACATGTGAAGATGTTTATGTGTAACATCTTATGATTGTTTTTTACCACAGTATCCATTTGGACTTTTTGATTGCAACGAGACCAAGACAACAGATGTCATACAGTTGCTGAAAGACCTTCAGAAGAAGTATGTACCATATATCAACAATGAAATCAAAGAGCCATTGCTATTTGGTGGTAAGTGAAAAGATATACAATCTGCTGATAGGGATTTCTAAAGGCATATTGATGAAAGTAAAAATAATTCTGCTAAACACTAGCAGTCAAGCCCAGATTAGTATAATCTTCCTAGAAATTGCCAAATTCCAGTTTATTAAAGCTTTTAAAGAAATGGTTGTGGGACTTAAAAATATTGGAGGATGTTTAAAAATGTTATCCAGGATAGTAGCTGTAAGGTAAAACATGTAAGAGGCACATCTTGATTTGATCACAAGGTATGTCATACAAAAATAAATTCAAAATTGTAGCTTCCCTGCTGGACTTCACCATAGTGATTGGCTCAGTGTCAAAATGATACTCATATGATATGTCATTATCTCTCTGTGGCCTTATAATATAAGTCAAAGGAAAGTCAATTTTAAGTCTGTTGTGCCAAAAATAGACTGTTTTAACTATACTTCAATTTAACAACAATTCCCTTGCTATATGTTTTTTGTTTATTTCCTTGAAGGTGACAGATTGACAGATGAAAGGTTTCAGGGTGCACAGCAAGCATTGTCAAATGGTGAAACAGCCTCAGATAGACTTGAAGGTTTCATTTCTAAAATAGAGGATTTTCACAGACTCATGAATTTCCTTGAGGTAATAATGATAATTATTCATTATTTGTAATAATTCACATTTTCCATTCCACCCAAAAAATTGGGTAATTTTGAAATGTAAACAATGTTTCACAGACTTTGTACAAAGACAAAAACCTTTAAAAAGGGGGTTACTAAGGGAAGCTTTGGTCAACATTTGAATTTCAGGCTATTGATTTATTAAAAAAAAAGTGTTTTTGTTTACACGTGAACATGGGCATAGGACAGCAAGCGAGGCAAGGAAAGCCTTCCAAAAACGTTTTAACATTATGTAAAGATAAGGTCTCTTTTACACATTACTTGCTGCGGGTTGGTGGTTTACTCCAGGTACTCTGGTTGCCTTCAACATTATAGAACTGACACCGTCAGTAGATGACTGTAATGGGTTTATTTGGACAATAAACATCACTTCTCTTCATGTCTCTTGTAATATAATAAATAATTTGTCAGGTCAGATTTTGTTGTAATGATGAAATCAATTCTCTTTCAGGCAATTTGTAGACTAGCTTTCAGCACAGATTCTGGAAATGATAGAGGAACAATGTATTACTACAGGAATGTTTTGAATGCCAGAAATGTAAAGGGTGAGGTGAAGAATTCCTACAGAGCGTACAAATTCCTATGATATACTATACTAGATGCCATGTGTTGTCTGCTATTCCTGTCGGAGTTTGGTCTGCATGATTTCGAGGACAGTGTGGCAATACCAGATGATTTAGACCAGTTTTCAAATGAAATGAAAATCAATTGGATCAACAACATTTGTCAATCAGTCATGGAAAAATCATTTTTTGAGAATTCAACTGATGTTATTGGTTCTTCGAGCTATTGTCACAGATCCTGAGCACCCAGAAAATTATTGGATTTCTAACCTTGAGAATGGTCGTGTCAGATGCCATTTTTGTGATAAAACGTATGCCTATGTTGGTAGTTTGAAAGTTTATGAAGAGAAAATCCACAAGAAAACTGTAGTAACAACGAAAAGCACAGTGACAAAGGACAAAGATGAGTTACAAAGTTACTGTCGTATGCTGTTCAAACTGTGTCTCTTACAAAAGAATCTGGACACATCTGTTGACATGGGTGATGGAGAACGCAGTGTCAGATCAGCAAAGTATGAACTACCCATCTACAATACTACAAATAAAATCAAATATGGCATTGGATCAGTACACCTTATTTCTATGACTGAAGGTCTGTTAAATGCATAAATGAATGAAAGATTAATTGCAAACCGATTTATCAATTTGCAGGGTGGCAAGAACAAAAATCTTGGTCTTGATGAATATGTGGAACTTTTGAATAGAGACAGCAAAAGTAACGTGTTCCGGCTTTCAGACCAAAGAAAGTATACTAGCCCGATCTGCAGAGTTCCCATATTTGGTAAACTTTGCAAAACATTTTGATGCCATCAATGATGTTTCAATCCGCAAAGGATTTCACAAGCTACCAACTTATGCTGAAGATGTCAAGAAGGTTTTCAAAGATCTTGTTGAAATTTCAGCATTTTCTTTTGTAGATGGCCGAACTTTAAGACGCAAGTCACTGAGAGCACATAGGCACATTTTGACCATTGCTTTAAAGGACTCAGCACTTTCATTCACAGACATAAACCAGTTGTGGCATTTCATAGACTGCGAAATCAGAAAATATGAACAGTTCTTTTTGCTCTGGTCTATGTAGACCTTTTATTACCCAAGAAAACTGTAGGTTATAAACATGTACTTGACATACAAGTCAACCATGGTTTCTTCTGTAGCTCTCATGATCACCATGTATAAATGACCCCAATGCAGCTGTGTAGTAAAGCAGATGTTAAACAACATTATTCATAGTCTGTGATTTGATTGTTTTATTGGATAAAATTGTATTGGTTCTTGACCGCAAAGTTTAATATTTGGGATTTTGTGTGATAAAGGCTTGGTTAACGATGAGACTGTGATCTGATTGTGTCCGGCGAATTAATAAATAACTTAATCACAAAGTGAAAGTATAATTAAGTCATTCTTTATTATGTTCTCGTTATCATTGTCATGAATTCCTAAATTTTACTACATGCAGCAATCAACATGTCAATAATTATTAAATCAAAATATTTTCACCCAATCTATCATTAAACTAGCATTCTTATCACAGTCATCTGATAGTTCAATATTGAACAAACACTTCTCGACACAAGTACAGGGATCGCCTTGGCTCAGTGGTAAAGGTGTTGATCGGATATTGCACATTCCATTCGACACAGGTTCATCATGTATACATATTAATTGTAACCACTTCTTAATTCCTTACTAAATAAATCACAGTACAAATGAGAAATTAGCACTGTTACCATACCAGTTGTTAGACATCGTGGTAGTATGGTTCAGTTGCTTCATCGTCATCTGGGACGTGTGGTTCCGTTGCTTCATAGTCATATGGGTTCTGTGTTTTGTACATTTCCTTTACATCAGGGTCGACTTTATTTAAGTGATAAGAGTTGTATAGTAACATGGCCACAGAACTTTTACAATCACGACCTACACGTCCTATTTCTTGAATAATGTCGGTCAAATGTTTAGGCACACAGTACAAGATAACGCTATGGGTGTCTACAACATCAATTCCCATTCCCAAAGCACTGGTAGCAGTCACCATTTTCAACTGACTGTCCGCAGTCTGAAGTTCCTTTATGCTATTTGTTTTCTTCTCTTCGGGTGTTTCAGAGTGAAACATATCAAGCATGTCACATTCAGGCAGTTCAGTTTTCAAATAGCTGTATATGTTTGATGCATCCTTAATGGAATGGCAATATAAAATAGTTCTTGGAAAATTACTTTCACTAAGTGCATCCACTAGCCAAGCCATCGCCATCTGTAGTGAAGTCGGAATTTTGTAAGTGGGTTTATACTACCCAAGACAAAAATACTTGTGGGACAAACAAGTTTTAGGGCAAAATAACCCGGAATCGTTTTTTATACATGACTATAGTTTCTATGGAAGCAGTGTGGTATGCAATTTATGACTGTACCACACGTAAGAAAATTATGTAGTATTAAATATGAAGTCGGGTAACAGTAGTAGGCTTACAGATATCTCGTCGTGACGATGTCACGATATGGAGTTTATATTTCAAAAATATGCAAGCTTATGCATGTATTCGGACAAGTTCTCTCATTATATAGAAACTTAAAATAAAAATAATAACCTTTGTATTCGGCAGACACACGGGGAATTTTCTTTATGCGCTCAACCTGGTCTTTCATCAATGCAACCAATGGACAACAGACGATTATTTTCCCGGTATCTTCTTGTGAGATTTCACGTTGCACTGGAATCAGCATCTGGTACGGTAAGGACTTCCCAAATCCTGTTGGTAAAACTGCCATGCAGTCTCTTCCCTCCAACAAACAGTCCAACATTTCCCTTTGTTAAGGTTTTAAGTCATTAACGCTGAAATAAGCTAAGACGTTCTCCACGGATTTGTCAACTACGCTTTTCGACGCCATGTTTGTATTACTACCGAAAGGCCTCATGAAAGGAGCCTTTTGATTGGTCAATGGATTTAATTGTATTCGTCAGAGCGAGGTCATCGGGACATGACCTCTAACCGGGGTTGTTCAGATCCTAACGTGATACGTAGAGAACGAAGGATATGATTTTAATCAGATTGTGGGAAGTTGTTACATTAAGTGCCTTGTATGTGTATCGTACAGGTAACCAGTGCAATGAATATAGCACAGGTGTGATGTGCTCTCTCTTTCGAGTACGAGTAACCAGCCATGCTGCAGTGTTCTGGACCCTCTGCAGACGACTAGTTAATTTGTTAGATATACCACAGAGCAGGGCGTTACCATAATCCAACCGAGAGGTACCAAGTGAATGCACCAAAATCTTGCATCTGCAGTTATAAACTGCCAAATACAGCCGATGTTCCTGAGTTGGTAGTAACATGATTTGACAATTGCGTTCACTTGTTTCTCCATGTTCAGTGAACTATCAACGTATACCCATAGGTTTTTAACAGCTGGAACATTCTCAATAGTTCTGGCACCAACCTTGAGCTGGAGAGCCGTTGTTTGCTGACACTTTGGGGAACGAGTAGTTCTGTCTTTTCCTGATTAAGCGTTAGCATGTTGCATGCAATTGGCGTTCATTCAGATACTGATATCTGCCAGACAAACATCAGATTTTCTGAAATTGTATCCAAACTGTCCTGTGGTTTATTGACCACATACATTTGTGTGTCAACAGCATAGCAATGCTAGCGAAGGCTATGGCGACGACAAATCTCTCCAATCGGTTTGGAGTACAGGTAGTATTTTGTGGTCCTAACACTTGAGGAACCCCGAAATCTAGTATTTTGTCATGTGAGGTGGTAGATCCGATGGCAACACAATGTCGTCGTTCACTCAGACTGTATCAAGCATAGTTCGGTATCAGTCACTCCATAAGAGTACTCCAGACGTTTATAAAGTATACCATGGTCAATGACGTCAAATGCAGCTGACATATCCAGCATGACAAGCACAAAAGCCTGCGAGTTTGTTCAGTATAGCAATATGTTGACCTACACTGATGAGTAATATTACACGTTTTAGAGGTTTACATCAACTTTCGGTAAACTTACACCACAATGATGGTAAAACGTGTAATATTACTAGTGCTATACTGTAGCAGATTCTCACGTCCCTGTGATATATACTAGAATTTGGCACTGTTCTGACAACAGTTACATACGTTTTTAGCTAAGGCGTGAGCCGCCAGCTATTGGTATTACTTTAGTTAATGAGCTCAGATATTCATAAATGTCGATTTCACACAGACGGCCTCTAGCGGTAGTCACTGGTACTAAATTGAATCATATACCGGACCTACTGTCTTTATTAAGCGTAACTTTGGACTCAAATGCACTTGAATGGCTTGTTAATATCATTACTTTTCTTTATAGAACATATGATCTTATCACAACGTCGTATTCTTATTGAATATGCACCTTGTTTATCTCAATCGGCNAGCTAGGCATTTTATTGTTAATTTGAAAAATATCTTTACTGCGCTAATATAGAGCAGGAGTTCTGACTTTAACAGTGCATATAAAAACTTAAGGGTATTGTAGAACACAAATCTGAGATAAGTCTGGTTAACCACACTGGTGTCGAACACACCAATAAGTATAGTGTGTATAATATATCATAGTTTATACACATCATATTACTATTAGTGTGTCCAGTATCTGTGGGGTTAGCATAAACTCAATATTTGTTTTAAACTTTTAATTGGCCTTATATAATGATCATTTATAGGTCAGACAGGGTTTGGTTTCCAATTCGGAAACTAGACCTGTTAAAACAGTTATCATTTGTAATTTAGAGATTAAATATTTCTAAGCAGAAAAAAATGAACTATAAATATTTTTCAACCTTTTCTGAGTTGTACAATTTTAGAGTATCTTCTGTCTGAAATCTGAACATAACTTGTTTTATGATAAATGTGTAAAACAATTCCTCATACTGGGGTAAAGTTTTTCTATATATAGTCCCAAAAACTACAGATAAAATCCTTGAGCACGTACAAGATACAAAAATATATATTTTACGTCCATTTTGCAAAACATACAACATAAGCTACAAAGACAAAACATGAGTATAATAACAGAGACCAAAATATTACAACATGGAAAAATAAAATAAAAACATGTATGTACATGTAGTATACTGTAAGCTCAGAAAAAGAGTTTATCACTTGGAAAGCACTTAATAGGCACATTGAACACGGTAAGCACATCAGCACATGGTAATTTAAGCACATTTAGAACATTTGCATACAGCACATAAAAAACAAAACCATAACATGGAAAGCTTATTAGCACATAGTAGGCACATTTGCACATTGTAAGCAAAATAAAGGAGTGCAATGGACATCTCCATGTTTCCTGGTTAATTTCTTCTTTATGGAAACAACCAGGGGAGAGTGATGTTCTGCTTCATCTTTTGTATTAATGAAAACCGTGAATATCTAAGTGCGTGTGTTTAAACTAATTTTGTTTTGTTTTTACTGGTACCTTTTTATGTACACATGTTTTACCACCTAAGGAATTAGATGTCTTAAGCCCCCATATGATGTGCTGTTATAAGTTGAATTTAATGTACATTTTGTTTATATTTAGTTCTGCTACCAAAGAGATTGACTTATTGAAATGTTTTTGAAACATTTTAATGAACTCCTCAGCTTTAATGCCTTATTTCTCACTATACAAGCTCATATTGCTATGCCTCCTATTTGTTTGAATATCATCTCTAAACATTATTGCTGGTGCAGAAATTATATGGTAACTATGTTCTATTTTAGGGGGGGAAAGCAATCAATATTACAACAGACAGGGATGGTTATTGATGGGAGAAAGGAGGATGAGAAATAGGAACTGTACCAACTCTCTCATACCTTTGAGGACTTCATGAACTTTTTCAAAAGGCTGCAAGAACTATACCAACAGTGACATGACATTTTGAAATCTGTCAGTTACTTTATAGAGGAGGAACCTCTGACTAAATCATTTTCTCTCAGACACATGAAAGCCGAGTCCACAGATCCTTCCATCAGCGAATAGTTCAAATGTAGTTCAAATGCTTTCCTCGCAAACTTTTCCTTAATGGAGAAGTCAGTGATCTTTACTTGGAACAGATTGAATCTGTGAATATTGATGCTGAAAGCCTGATGAATGTGATTGAACAGCCCCTACTTGATGCTGAAACCCTGATGAATGTGATTGAACACCCACTACTGACTAAGGGCACAAATGTTGGAAACAACGTTTGTTTTGATCAATATAACACTATGGGTGGTGGGAGCAAATTGGAAAAAAAATTAAAAGTATGTTTTTAAAGATAGAAATACTGGTCATGGCTTCCTTTTAGTTTTTGTCCAATGAATTAAAAGTCAACGCAAATGTTAAGTAGTAAAAGAAATGTAAGATCCCTGGTATACATTGTACTTTTAACAATGCTTATGATCAATATCAATAAAATAAAATAAAAGTTATAATATGTAACTTGATATTTGTTAACTTCGCTCGATTTTACTGTGTCCAACATTTGATATTAAATCTTGTGTGATATATGAGAGGGATAGCACACAAGATTGTATCAATGTCAATGAAAGCAATTATTTCTTAAGTTTTCAACCATATTTCTTGAAACTTCATTTCTAAATTTCATACATCAATTGTTCAAGACAGTTTTAAGGTCAATTTCATTCAGTCAAGGTGAAGGCTACAGCTTCACAACCTGTTCATGTACATGTGACAGAGAAATTGTCAGTGCATTCCTAACTAAGTATTCAAACCAAATTTTATAAACCTTGATCCATCATTCTCAACATTAAATCATGCACTACCTGTTTGCATATACACAAGCAACCTCAACTTTCAATAAGTCCTGTTGTCAACATTTGTTGCACAATGCTATCAGTTCTGAAACCAACAATCATGACAACTGTAATAACATAGTATGTGTTCTAGCTGGTACATTTGCAGTACTCTTTTGAAATGTATTTGAAATTAATATGTGCATCTTATTTCAAATGCTAGCCTATGAAGATGATAAAGCTGAACATATGCTATAAAGTTGTTGTTTTCTTTGTGAAGAATTTATGCAATGGAAATAGAGGGAAAATAATGTAACTCTCCTAATCTTGTGTGTGTGTGTGAGTATGTATGTTTATATTTTGTTTATCTTATTCAATATTGAAACATACAACAATGTATCATATTGAATTAGAGTGCTTTTTATATTATTTGTTCATGGGAACACAGATTCAAAATAGTTCCATTTTTCATAAGAAGAGACCTTTTCACTGCAGTGAATATGTAAAAC